TCCCTTAGAAATTGCTCAATGCCATCAAGGCACTGTAAAACAGTCCTGGTTTCTAAACAGGGCTTTCTGCACAAATATGGAAAAGATCACGAGTAAAGATCACACAAATACACATTTTAGTCACAACTTACCAGCTCACTCTGTTGATATTGACAGTGATTTTAGGAACAGCTGATTTATATCCAGGAGTTGGGGGCCTTATATTCTATACTCTTATGCTTCCCAAAGGCAACAAAACCCCAAACTGCCCAGAAATAAACAGAATCCACATGCTTAGGAACTACTTCCTCCCAAGAGAATGTTTCATTTAGCAAATATTTTGAGAAGTAAGGTCAACATAGATTGAGCATTGAAGAAGTGCTTTAGAAGATGCAGTAAACAAAGGAGAGATACAGAACATTTGACAGAGAAAATACGTGACAGAGAACATTTGACAAATATAAAGCACTTTTCAAAGGCATAAAACCAGATTTTGTTTCTTCCTACACTAGAAACCAAACTGCAACTAAAGAATAGCACCAATTAAAAAAATAATTTGGCACTGCATATTTAACTTAAGAGGAAAATGGGTATTTTACACACACACTCTGCAGCTATCTGAACAAAAATTGACACCCTCATTAGAAAGCATGAAATCTAAGTTGTTGGCAAAACTGTCTGAAAGCAGAATGAAGAAAGAAGGAAAAGAATCTGGGGTGACAGTAAGAATGTTACAATCAACCAAAACAGAGGCTGAAACTTGAATTTGCTTTTGCAGTTTCCAGTTATCAAAACTTGACACCTCTGTCACACCAGTATTCCAGGAAGAAAAAAAATTAGCACTTCAAACACCTCCACACACACCATCAAACACAACTTCTATACACAACAACTCCTGTCAAATGTCTTCTTCTTTTCTTCTTAATGGTATTAGCCTAAACTAGATTGTACTTGGAGGAAGAAAACCCAACATGTAGCTTGTCTGAAAAACAGAGATATGGCCATGCATCAATGTGGTGCTATAGAAATAGATCTCCCCATCATTTTCTAACAGACTCAGACCATTTGAAAAATTTCAAATACAGTCACAAAAAGAATTTGGCAAGAACAGTTCATATAATTGTCCCTCTTAGGGAAAAAAAAAAGAGAGACTAGAGGGGGAAAACATACATATTCTGCAGAGACATTGACATTGTATCTGGGCTTCAGGAGAGAAACACTCAAAGCTTTCAAAAGACATTTTCTAGACACTGGTCTAACTGGTATTTTGTTTAATAGAAACACTTTCAAAGAGTGGAATTAATCCAGATTTGTTGGTTTAATAAAGAACTGAGTTCAGCTCACTGATTTAATGCACTAGATTTGCTGCTATGTTCTGGCCATGTGAAGAGCTGTAAATTGGATTTAGTGAACATGAGCAAGTCAATAAATGCCAGAAAGCAGACAAGATACCACTAAATCCACACCAAAATCACTGCAAAATATCTTAACCAAAAGGTACTGACCTGATTTCCACTCATGCAATTTTTTTTCAGTATTTATACCTGCCTGATGTAAAGAGCATAAGTCAAGGAGTTCCACTTAAAACCAGATTTCCAGGCAGGTAGGTAGGTCTACACCAGCTGAGAAGTCTGTCCCCACTCATTTCTCTCCTCAGAGGAAAATCACAGATTCAGTCAGGTTGAAAAGACCTCTGAGCCCATCGAGTCCAGCCATTAACCCAGCACTGCCAAATTCAGACTGAGCCCTGTCCCCAGCAGCTGCACCTGCACTTCTGGTGGCAGCCCCACCACTGCCCTGTCTCCTTGCACATTTATTTCACTTCATCCTTGCCAAGGGATGTGTTAATAAATATTCTCTGTGGAAAATGTTGCCTGATCATTTTCTTACCTTCCTCCACAAAGAGCCAGATGCAACTGAGATCTCTCCTGTATCATTAATTTAACAGAAGTGTATTTTCAGCTGCCCATCATATAGGATTTGACAGGGAAGTATAAAATTTGTTGAAATAATACACCAAGTACTGTAAAAATTCACAGCTAAGACTGCATTAAGATATCATGTACACGAGTTTGGAAGCCTTGCAGATACATTTTAAGGCAAACAGCTGAACATGCTCATTGTGTGACACCTGCTTTGTAGCTGCACCTTTCCCAGGAACCCCCAGCTGGTTCCTGCTCCCCAAGCACACAGGTACAAGCCCCACCAGCATTCTCTATCTGCTGAGTCCTTTCCTTTTTGAAGGTGTACAGTTTCACTGCAACAAACCATGAAGTCACTTTTAGTGACAGTCTTATGCTCTTGAAATCCATAAACATCCAAAACAGCTCTGTCAACTTGGTAAAATTCAAAAAACTCTCAATTTCTTCAGTAGTTTTAGGAGATTGTGACTCGCATAAACTGTCATGTCCTCAGTTTTGAGGCAAATTTCAAGCAATCTCACAATTTCTTATAGTGTGAGTTCCTAAATCTACAAGGAGTCTGGCCCTCTCAGCTTTTTCATGCATGTACACAAATTAAATTTACACTTACAAAACTAACCTATCAATTGTGTCCCTCAATTACACATTTCATAAGACAAAAATCTCTTATCAGTGAGAGCAACACAGACATTTTTTTTCTGAAGATTTCTAAACACAATTAATCTGGGTTTAGATAGTTACATAACCCTCTGGATTTAGGCAGTGTGAGCATTACCAGATCCAGAAAAAAATAATCTGCACTTTTTTGCCCCGAGGTCATATAATCCTCCTGAGTGCTCAGGATCCTGCTCTGAACATTCACTTCTCTCTCTTTTTACCTGAGGCCACTTGCTTTAGCCTTGGCCTGTCTCACAGTTAAAAGAACAGTGTAAAGTTAAAAGAACTAGTAAAGAACGTATGTTTAGACTTTTTAATTCTCTCTGATTTTTTGTATACTTCTCTCCAAGTTTTCTTAATCATCAAAACTGTTCCACTACAAGCAGGTGTGACTTAACACCAAGCTTTTATGCTGCCTGTAAAGGACCTTTCCAGTTTCATGGAATAAACATTAATTATTAGCTCCATATAATTAGAATTTTCAAGTCATCCAAAGAAACTCATAAAGAAAAGCACATTTCCTACTGAATAAAACACAAATACATTTTGTAAATCCTAAAAATAGGTTCAGAAAGGGTTACGTATTGGTTCTTCTGCTTCACTCACACATAAAATTACAGGTATTTACTAGCAATGGTAAATTTTTCCCTTAAGTCTCACATGAAAAAGAAGATGAAAGCCATCGGCCCAAACTCTGATGCTAAAGCAGATCTCCAAATCCTCCCCTATTTTCCATTAAAAATGCCACAGCTCTCTCAGTCAGAAGAACACGCCTCTGATAACTGTGCTAAAAACAGTAGATCACAGTGAAAATTAGGGATTGGGTTGAGACAAAATATAAGAAGTCTTTAAATGCAGCTCATACTTGGAAAAAAAAATCATGTTTTCTCCCACTGTGTGTGAGGTGTGCCCAGTGCAGTGTAAGGTGGAAGCTGCAAGAGGGACCAATGCAGCCAGGATGGGGAATTAGAACACCCATCACTCACATCCTACATCATCACAGTTAAGTGAAAATGTCAGAATATCTGTATTTTTATAAAAACTTACTAAACATTCAGGACATAGTAGAAAATTATACCATGCACTTACTAACAAATAGTTTACAAATCCCAAACTCCTGTTCTCTCCAGTGACCATCTTGGCAAATACAGATACCAGCACAGAGTTCATTTTCTATGTTTCTATCCATTATCTAACTTTGCCTTTCATGGATTCATTAAAACAGTGGTTTGTAATAGCATCAAATTAGTAGAAAATCTGATATGGTGCAGTTTGACAATGATATAGCTGTCATGATAGTTCTACTTTTTGCTTGTACCTACTCAGGCATCATTAGAATCAAATATCTACCTCTCAGCGTTTCTCCTGGGTTCATCCAACTCTGAAAGCTCTCAGGCCATTAAAGTATATCAATTAGTAATGATTTTCTTCCAGCCCCAGCAGCCACTGAAGCATACATTAAAGGTGATACCTGCAATCCAAAATTTAATGTGGGCATTTGAGAATATCTACTTTGATGAAGAGATTATCAGAAAAACTCATTTGCTTAAAGTTTTAGATCACAGTTATTGAAAATATTTTATTTGCTGAGCAAATGCCTGATGAACATTCCTGTATCCGTTAAATAATATTAATTGCACACAGGTTGGGGAAACACAAGAATCATTAAAGGATAAATGAGGTTGTGCAATGGCCCAGAAGAGCTAATGTTATCGCTTTCCAGGCTGCTTTTACAACCTTCTGAGTAGGACAATTTTTAACTGAGTCATCGTGGCCGAAGGAAAGTTACTTTCACTGTTTGAGTGTATCTATCCAATTGAGTAGATGTCTCAGAGGCAGCTCATTACAAGCCCTGGAATTAGAGGCTGTCACATTCCTCGTAGCTAGGTTAGGTCCCTTCAGCCAGGATTGTTTGGGAAAGCAATCCTTTACATGCTCACAGGCATTTCCAAGCCTGAGAGGCCACTTACCTCTGGTCCAATGCAACTCAATATAGTTACCCAAAGATCAGACTGCAAAGCAAATGTAATTAGTGAATGCAAAACTTCTGCACAATACATTTTGACCATTCCACCTACATATTTACTTATTTTTAAACAGAGAAATATACTGCTCCTCACGGAAAATATCACAAACTAGTGAAACATCAGGAGCACATCAGAATCACATTTAATCCTCAGAGCCAGCACCATGAGACTTACTATGGAGATAGAGATGCAATTGAATTTGTCACTCCTTTGAGTGGCAGAGGCTCTCACTCCTTAAATGATGTGACCTGGAATGATTTTTTGAATACAAGCATAAGATTAATTTCCAAGTTTTTATCCCACTGTTATGCCTGTAAAATTGTTTCCACTTGAATATACTTGACATTAGTCATAAATCTCTGGTCAAACAAAGGTGAAAAAGGATGAAAATGCCATATACAACATTTATTCTTACCTTCAGCTGCCAAGAATCTTCTTTTGGTATAGTTGACCTGATCATCACTTGAAATTTTCATGTATTGGTTTCATTATCTGTATAATCACCCAACAAATTTGACACTACGTTTCTCAGCAGGAGTTTGCAGATTCCTTCTCAGCTAGTTAATGAGTCTTCAAGTTTGATCTGGACACAGAACACATACCTGGTATGACTCTTTCAAATTAGATCCAATTTCTTTTTCATGTTCTTTTTCCTTTGAATCTAAATAATAGCTCTGCTGTGACCACACATTCTTTTATACCTCTACACAAGTCTCTATATTAATGGAGCTAATTTTAATTTCCATGTGGAAATCCTCCCAAACAGACAAGATCAGCATGAAAGAAGTATTTCAGTAGGTGGCAAATGCTCACTTCTCACCACCTCTTTCCTACTGTTCAGCCACCATGGCCACTCCTTCACCTGGGCACATCTGGCCAGCAGTGCCTGGCACACCCCATTTGCATCTCCTCTCCTGCCTATTTAAAGTCAGTGAGTATGTGCATATTGGGCACTACTTCCATAAGATGTTAAATGAAAGCATATGTGGAAAACAGATTTACAGGCTGAATTTTACAACAAAGATTTTTGAAATTGTAACAAATCAATCATCTAAAACTTGAACAAACACTTTTATATTTCACTGGATTACTTACACTTTGATATTAAATCCTCCTTCCATAATATTTCCAAAAGGGAAAAAATATTTCCAAAAGAGAAAAAGAAATATACTTCAGTCAGAGTGCCAAATAATCTATCTAGTCTTATCTGCACACATATGCATGCAAGAAATATCTACCACCCAGGCAACAGTCTGCACATCCCCATTCCTTTCACAGCTATCAGACAAGTTTGACCTTTGGTTCAGACCTAAAATCTCCCAACCCATTCGTTCTATCTTAAGAGCAGTTCCTTCAGGGAAGGAGATGATAATGTATCTGCAAAGGCTGACTCTTTGTGCAGTTGGAGGGGGGAAGTGCCAGCATAACAAATTGCTCCTGTTCAAACCCATCAATTCAAAACAAGCATCTGGAAAACTTGACAAGAATACTCAAATGACCCTTGTGTTCTGACAGCTGGAAAAGAGAAAGCACTCTCCACAACGGGAAGATGTGTGCTCAAACTTTTTGCCTGGATAGAGAAACACATAAAACTGTTTGAAATATTTTTCCTCAAAGCTCATTAAATAAAACTTTCAGTGCAAAGTATGACTCATGTAGGCAACTATGTCAGCACTCACAAATCTGTGTTCAAGAGCACCAGAAGCTGGTCATGGCGATGGGCATGTTACAAATTCCCTTCTCTCGTGAGCCCCCACTGCTGCAACAGATCATTTCCTCCTGTGACAGGGACCTCCATCTCCCTCCAGCCCTGGCACATCAGGGCTGCCACCTCGGTGGGGAGAGCTTCTGCCTGCTCCGCCTGGAGAGGCCACTGAGGATGTTCGTGAGGAACAGACTGCAATTCTGCTCTCTCCAGTCCTGCCAAGAGAAACACCAAGATTAGGGTGTGCCATTGCTGACATAAATTCAATTTGATTGTATCTCAGGATTTCTGATTTGGTCAAGATCTGCACTGAGGGGGAAAAAACCCAAAAAATCTACCTTGCATCATCAATTAATTATCTTCATTCTGAGTTTCTTCACTTTGGCCTCTGCAGATGAAGCATCTACCTGTGCATCAAAATACCTTAAAACTTTTCAAAATGCAACAAACTACTTCTGGAACTTTAAAGTCCCAAATATCAATAACAATACTTAAATAATACTCTGGTCTAAATTTATTCTTTTAAATTTAATATAATAATTGCCCCAACTTTCCTGATTGAAACAGAAAATGACAAAAAGAAAGGCTGACCCTTCAGAAGTCACAGGTCTATTTGGACATTTAAGCTCTCCAACAGATGGTAGCCCAAATTATGCCCAAAATGGATGTAGATAAAAATTCTGTATTTACCTAAAAATGTCTTGAGAAATGTTTACTAATGTTTATTAATGTCTTGTATGCTGGAAAAACAAAGTCATATGCCTCAGTACTTTGTAATTGCTTTTACAGGAGAAACGGCAGAAATTCTTTAAATTACTTAGGTTTTATTAAGGAAAAAAGACCTCGTCAAGGATTTAAGTTGGTTTTGATTAAAAGTGACTCTGTTTGGAGGAACTCAGTAACATACTCAGTATTCAAACAATAAAGAATTGACACTTTATACATAGCAGCAAACTCTGGACCTTATTTTTTTTTGTCACAAGAAAAATTAAACAAGTTACATTAGAAAATGGGTCACAACAGGATTTGCAGTAAACACTATACACAATATCAGCCATTTGTGCAGAACACAGCTGACGCACACACAGAGTTTTCTGGTTTATGCCTTACTTCTACGATTCTAAATTGATTTACAGCCCCATGTGAGACTCATAAAAGAGCCCTAGGCAGCTCTATCCTGCTCACATACTATTTGCAACACTGTGAATTTCTCAATTTGCCCATTTAAAAACATTTTCCCTTTTCCTTCCTTTCAATAACAGATTTCTGGAGGGAGTAGGGTGAGAGAGATGAGAACAGAGATAGTTAATGGTTAGATACACAAATGAGACACAAATCAGTACATCACCTTCTGCTCCAGATCCTAGAGAAGCTCTGGTTTTTGGCTGGGGGAGTCACTGCTTCCCACTCACCTGCCCTGGAAAATACAATGAGAGATCTAAAACCTGACCACATGTGACGATGCAAACGTTGCTGGGAAATGAATCACTGCATCTAACATGACTTCAATTAGAAGAAAGACCTACTTTTATTAAGGCAAAAGATTTATAAAAACAGGGATTTTTTTAAAAAATATATACACACAGGAAAGGCCTTCAAAATTAGGTATAGTTGGTCCATAAAGGAGTTTGCTTATTAATTTCCCTCCCCAGCATAACACCGTGACATTGTTGGATCACTATCCATCTTCCAGTTCAGAAATTAGGTATGGAGAAATAGAACAGGGGCTCCCAAGGTGGTCCAGGAAAATGAAGACAGAACAAGAACCAGAATTTGCTATTCTGATAGTTACTGCAATTGTCTTTCTAATAAGCCAGATTGCTCCTCTTCATTACTGTTTTTATTTTACTTCTCTAATGTGAAAATAGCTACAGAGAAGATTTTCTGCCAGGCAACAGACATCTAGCGAGCAGATACCAAAGTTAACAATCATTTGTTCTGTTTGAGTGCAGAGCATTTTACTGGGGTCAGAAAGCAAAAGCTCAGAGCTGACTTAGGCCCTGTATGGACCTGCTTTTTCTGCTGCCATTCACTAACTGAAGACTTCATGAAGAAATGGATGTGACTCTGCTCCTCCGGTGGCTGAGGTGATCAGTCCAGCTAAGGTGCACTAGGCCAAGCTTTCTTATCAAGTCCAAGAGCTGCATATCCACACTAATGTTCAAAGAATCACAGAATATAAATTCTATAGCAAATACAAGACCTTTTCACAAACATTAGTATTTAAACTGACCTACTGTTTCCAGCAGTAATTACATCAGGCCCCTCGAGTTACCCTGGGAGAGATGAGAGATGCCACACTGGTCTAGTGACAAAAAGGCTTTGTATTCCATGGACTAGCACACCCCAGAGAATCATCTCCTGGCATATGCCTGCCCATATGCACAACACACCCACTGTGCTAGCAAATATAGCAAGAACAGGTCCACTAGGAAGAGTGCACGGGTGACACCTGCCCTGGACACGCTGGATCTCAGCAGCTGAGAGTGGCCAGCAGAACCAGCTGCTGAGAAAAGCATCATTTAGGGTTTGGGGCTTGCAGCACCCTGCCTGGGGCTCGCCCCTTCTCTACCACCCCCTGCAACCCCTGATACCCCAGCAACAGCTGGTACCCTTCTCCCCCCATGTGGCCACTCGAATTCTCCCTTAGATTATATTCTCTCTTAGATTATATTCATATTGCTGTTCTTTCATTAAAACCTCACTGGTTTGCTACAAAACAACCCTTCAGTAGGGTATGAAGAAGTAACAAATCACATGCAACTGGCAATTTTTCTTTTACAGTCAGTCATGTGAGAAATGTGTTGATGGTTAAGATGAAGAGCCTTTTTTTCCATGAGTCATAAATTTTGAATTAAAAACTGCAATATTTCAGGACTGTGGGTTTTGGGAACAAAATTGCAGTTAATCATAAAATCACAGAATAATTTATGTTGGAAGAAAAACCTGTGGAGGTTGTCTCATGTAACCTCTGTCTCTAAGCAAGCCAACTTTTACCTGGACCTTGTCAAACCTTAGTCGGAGCCTTGTCACACAGCTTTGCCAAGCAGCTGCTCTGTTTTGTGTATTTTTCAATTTCAAATAACTTTTTCTATACAGCATGTACAATAACAAATTGAAAAGATGACATATAAATACTATTTAGATGGCATAAGACTAGCACGTCAGCTTTAAGAATACTGTCAACATTAAAAGTTTGTGGGTTTTTTTGTTAATCAAACCAAATAAAACTGGCAAATCTTCCACAAGCTTCAGTATTCAATATATCAAAAATATTCTGGGTTAAAGAGAAAATAAGCAGGAACATGAGAACAAAATCTCATCCTTTTTGCCATGAAGCTGAAATTATGTTTGGAATCATCTATAATAGTGCATTCAAGATATAAATATTTCTTACTAGAGAAAACAGATCTATGTTAGTATTGACTTAGCAACAGACATCAGACTAGCCACTGTTGGCCTTCAGTACATCACAAGGGTCTTCCTTGATAAAGCACACATCTTTCCCTTTCATATAAAAATGATTTATTTTTGTGACCATTCTGAGGAGGAAACAAACCACCCCTGTGAGTGACAGCAATTGCAAAGCTCTGCCAGCATTCACACGTGCAGACTGCTCCATCAAGGGAAGGGAAGCTCCAGGGGAGCTGTGCTGACCCTGGAATTCAGTGCCAGGCTCACCCTGGCCACTGGGCGTGGGGCTGTGGCTCAGGTCTCAGCAGGGATATTGTCCCCAGGCACAGCCCTTCCTGCTGCTCCCCCAGCAGCCATCCCAAACCTAAAACTGCTCCCAGGGCTCTCAGTAATGGTCATTACATACATAAAAGTGGTTTTTTTTTAACACATTTGTATTACATAACAATCTCCATCTCCAATTTTTGTTGTTGCAGTCACCAAAGAAGCTGTTCTTGCTTTTATCTGCCAGCTATAGCAAGATGGAGCTGTGGGCATTGCAGGCCTGTCCACACATTTAACAGAGAACCACTGAAGGGTGTTTATAAGATGTCACATAATGGGGGGAGGGCAGACACTGCTGCCCTGGCCCAGGGCTGCTCGTGTGGGAGCTCCTTGGGAGCAGGATTGGTTTGCAGGGAGTGAGCCAAGGACCACCAGTGGTGAGGGGGAAGCACAGAGGCAGCATCAGAGCTTTGTGTCTCTGCACATCCCTCCTTCCTCCAAATCACACCAGACTGGATACCAGGAAAAACTTATTCACCCAAAGGGTTATCGGAGCACAGGGACAGGCTGCCCAGAGAAGTGGTGGAGTCACCATCCCTGGAAATATTTGTAAATACATGTAGAGGTGGCCCTTGGAGACATGATTTATTTTCCTTGGTAGTGCTGGGTTAGTGTTTGGACTTGATCTGAAAGGTCTTTCCAACCTAAACAATTCCATGCCTTTATCATTTCAGAGGTGTTAGGATTTCTGGAAAAACCCGAATTTTCATAGGAGGCCAAGTGAAAATTGAACATCTTTGAAACCACTCCTTCACCTCTCTGTGCCTCAGCTTTTCATTTGCAAACCTGTGATACTACTATTTCCCTTCTTTGCCTGGAAAATGCAGATTTAACGTTCTTCAGGCAAGAATTGTCTCTAATGATGTGCATGCACTATGCCTAAAGCTGGGTGTCCCAGTATAGACTGTGACCTCCAAGAATTCATGCTCCACAAGAAAATATGGGAAGGAAGGGAAGGGGGGGGTTGGGGGAGGGGGGAGGAGAGAAAAGTATTTTTGAATATAAGAAAGAAGTCAAATACAGCTAATTATCCAGAGCTTCCCATCAGGCTCACAGATTCCCACCGTGGACACACTCAGTGGTTGTTCTTTATTTCTGAGCTTTACTTTAATCCCTCCTCATTTCTCTTCTTTCATTTTCAGTCAGTTCAGGATCCTAATGTTTTTTGCCAACTTATTTTTAATGGGATTGTTAGCATCCAGGAAGCCTTGTCAAATAATCATTATACAACTGCTTTCAGGGACCCCTGTAGTTGTTTCCACTTGCTGTGCATTCTCCCTCACCCCCTCTCTCCTTACATTAGCAGGGGAGATATTTTTCTTACTAGGAAAGCATCAAATTAAAAATCTGCTTGTTTGACCCTATCCT